TAGTAGATGTTGAAAGTTGTGGAATTCAGGGGAAACTTGTTTTGAGGGACCACCAAGATTCCCTAACCAACAAAGGTAACTGGCCATATGGCCGCAGGAAGTGGGGGTGCCGAAGCAACCCCTAGTGGCGAGAGGGAGACTTTTAAAAAATGTATTAAAAATACTTTGCACAATTTCTACATTTCTTATAAATATTTTACTTTTTATTATTTTACTATTACCTCTATTTGGATTTTAATTAAATAATTTTGAGGCCTATTCAACACAAGTTCACTAAAGTTGCGTTGTCATGGCAGGTGGTCACCGAGGTATCCAACTCACAACAGCGTACTAGTACATTTACAAAGTCGAATGACAGAAACGCATTTCGTATTTTTTGGGAAAACTACCACCAGTGAAAAAGAACACTAATACTGCAACCATGACAACAAAGCAGCCAGAGTGAGGAGACTTTCTGCATGTCTTTGATGGCAGATGCACCGCTAGGCACAGTCTCAGCACCCGCAACCCAATCTAGTGTGATTGGATTATGCAAGTCCTTCCAGCCAACATCCAGTTTAAATTTCCTGCACGGCGTTGTGATAATGAAATGTTCTGTAGCTTTGGTAGATGGCAGAGGCGGCATTTTGTGTAAGAGACTGATCATGCTTTGTATTTTGTTTGTCTGCAAAGAATCAAAAAAAGTCATACCTAGAGACAAATTTAAAAATGACAATCCCTTCGTGAATGCCGGCTTTTCAAATTGGCATAGAGCCACTGAAAATTTTTATATTGTGAAGTTTAAATAATTGCAAAAATAGTCACCTAAGAACTGATTTATGATTAATGTTTGATGATGTTACAGACCCAGGTTGCGTCCACTGAGGTGTACCTGAATATTAAATTAGTGACTCTCAATCTACTTGTTTATGTATTTTTATTGTATTTGGACTTATAGGATTATAGGTATTTTGTCCAAAAAAATAAAGATAAAAAATGTTCACAGCACCCCCTGTTCCAAAATTGCTTCCAGCGGTTCTGACTGTCCATTCAGACAGTCCAGTGTCCTGCACCTTTCAGAGGTGACTGATTCACATGTCTAAATCCTCCTCAGTTTGCAGTCATGGACTCCGGAGTCCTGCTACCAACCTGATTTTTTTTTAATCATGTGTGTTGAGGCAGAGACATCCGCCCTAAAACATTGCTGTTAGATGAATGTGTTTAACAGGGCCAACAGCTAGAACTCCATGGTAAATAAATAAGATTTGCTATTTATTTTGAAGATGCAGGTTTTTATGTATATATATATATATATATATATATA